CCAACGCATTGACCTGGCCACGTGTATAACGGGTAATATTGATACGAGGGATGTCTCTTAGGTTTTGCATATGGAAATAAAACAACAAGGTAGGTAGTTTTAAATGACTTTATTGTTTTTCGAAGTATTCTTCACGAAGATTAATACACATCTGCATGCGCTCAAACGAATTTTCGAGGCACTTATTCCACTCGTTTGCTGGCAGATCCAAACGGGCATATTTGAATGCGTCAACAGCTTCTTCTGGTGACTGGAACCTTTGATCACGCTGTTTTTAATTTTCGGCAAAGTAAAGAAATCGTTAGGACTTAGATCGGGACTATATGGAGGCTGGTCCAATAATTCCACGTTTTCTTCCGTTAAATACTGCCTTGTTTTTTGGGCTGTGTGCGAGCTTGCATTGTCTTGGTGGAGGATAATTCTTCTTTCGGGGTTGATTTTTCGAAGCTCGGTGATGATTTTTGGCAAACAAATGATGGTATACCAATCAGCAGTAACAGTTTTTTAATCATTAAGAGAAATTGTTACACTATGACCCGCTTTTGACACAAATGTCGCGACCATCTTTTTCGAAACACTTCGAGAACGGATGACTTTTGTTGGCTTTTATCACCTTGGATCACCCAAACAGCCGACTGTCGTTTATTTTCTGGTTCATAACAGTAAATTCACGATTCATCACCACTAACAATGCTGTACACATTTTTTGAGTTTCCGGAATTGAAACGGTCAAGTGTTTTTTGACACCAATTAATCCTGGCTGCTTTCTGCTCTTCACTCAACAGGTGGGGTATCCAACGAGAAACTAATTTTCTTACTCCTCATTCTTCATGTAAAATTTTTTGAATTGAGATCTTTGAAATCTTCAAGGACGCCTCAATCTCGCGATATGTCACATGTCTATCTTCAATGATGAGTTTGCGCACAGCATCCATGTTTTCCTGGGTGACTGCCGTTTTTGGTGCACCCACCGTGGAATCGCCGCTAAGACTCACCCGCCCACGTTTGAATTCTCCATACCAACGGGGAATTGTCGACTGATGTGGCGCTTTGTTGCCGAAAACAGACAGTAACTCAGCAAGGCATTCTTGTTGCGATAATTATTGTCTCTGAAAGTTGCAGTAAATTATGGCGCGAAAATGTTCTCGGTTGAGTTCCATTTTTCTAATGACTCGGTGACACTTAAAGCTTCACTGTAGTGAGAGCACTGCACGCATTGTTGTGAAACTTTGAATTTAAGTTTACTAAAGAGTGAGGTTAAGATTCAGTACTGACGTTCGATCCGCGCGACCTACTATGTTTCTATATGCAAAACTTAAAATACATCCCTCGTATTTGTTTCAATCATTGATTCACGAATTATACCTGAAGATAGTCAACTGGATACTATATTCCCGCATACAAACAATTATTTAAAATAAAATGAGACACCGTAGCGTCATTTATGACTCCAATGCACGTTATAATGGAATCACTTTAAATTTATCGGCTTTGCTACTGCTTCGTTATAAAAAACACCCTAAACAGCATTATAAATATCTATATATTTTTCTCTTTGTTATGTCTATCTGTCTTATATTATTTATTCAATTTACTCCACAAAAAGCAGCGAACACTCCTTCATCATCTAATAATTCCTAGAAAAAAAACTGTTTAACAAGCCACTTAGAAAGCTATCGCATCCCCTACTAATCTAATAAACCCTTTGAACAGGTGATGGTGAATAGAAAACAGTTTTTTCATCGCTGCTACTGGCTTTCATCACCTTTCCGGTCTCAGCCTCCGAAGGGCAGCAGGTAGATGGCTGCTGATCCCTTTTAAAAACATCTCTGAAGGGTCCAGTTGTGAAACAAGTGTGCTTTTTACCCTTTCGGTAGATCACTTTCACTTCACATGTTCGAAAGTTAGACCTTTTTGCTTGACTTCTTTACGGCTTAAAACCAACAAAAGGGTTGTTTGGTCAGAAGTTTAACTTGCCTCTCTGTGCTGTTGATGTTTCGCAAATGTTATGCTTTTCCTATAGAATGAATAGATGATCTATCATAGTATTACATCTACAAGGTATTCATTTGAGAACTTCCCACCACGGATTTATCGAAAACCGCTGATTAAAAGAAAACGCCAAGACACGTCAATAGATTTGTCAAGGAGGACTACTTCACCCCCTTTCACCTTCTGTCCCCCGGGATCATACCATTAAACATTTTAAATGACAAAGGTATCGAGTAATATCTTGTTTGAAAGGTCTTTCAAAGTCCTATATTTTGACGTCTGATTTTCTTATATCACTTTTTATTTCAATAAATGTTCAAAATGTTGCTTGATATTGGTCAAACAATGATATACGCGATGTTCAAATTCCTGACGGACATTTTCAAGAACATGCGGGTTGGGGAGTAAATACAATAGATGGAAAAAAGCCTAATGGCGTCAAATCAGGAGATCTAGTAGGCCATTTTATAGACCCTCTTCGCCATAACCATTTACCTGGAAACTCGTCGTCTAGCCATTGTCGAACCGGAAGAACATAGTGAAGAGGCGAGCCGTCTTGCTGGAAATATATTTCAGCCTCATCAGGGTTTCCATCCTCTTCGATTTGGTTCTCAATGGTTTCAGTGATAGGCGGACTGATGGTATTTTTCAACACATCCAAATAAATGTATCCATCCAAATTTCCATTAATAAACAATGGCCCAATCACTTTGTTTCCTAAAATGCCTGCCCATACATTAATATCTTGGGGGTACTGGGTATGCCCTTCTACAAAAGCATGAGGATTTTCATTGCTCTAATACCTGCAGTTATGCTTATCAACAAATCCATTTAGATAAAATGTGCATTAGTCGTCATTTGTTCATAAAACTCAACTAGCCTACCGAAATCGTCTTGTGTTAACTCTTACAATATTCTCATTTTGAATGGATGATATTTATGGAGCTTAGTAACTGTGTATACAGTGTGTATACAGAGCCTAATGAAATGCCAGCAACAATTTTGCGTAATGAAGTATTAGGATTTATTCCAAAATGATCCAAACCTTCAACTTGAGCGGCTTCATCCAAAACTCTTCATATAACCTGGGGGTCAAAACGGCTTTACAGTAAAATAAAATCTGACAACGCCGCAATGCCAGACGCAAATTACGACGGAACGCTGTGTAAATAAAGATGGAGTTTGTTATTTTTGGCTCCTAGGTATTATTTCATTATTTGATAATGTACTCGTAAAATTCACAGAATAAAAAAACGGGCTAACTAACTATCTCAGCGCTTCACCTGGTGTGTGAAAGTTTATTGATAGTATTAAAAAATCCACTTAATAGGGAACAAAATTTTGATACATACATTGTTATTCTTTTTAAAACCCACACTGCACTCTTTTTGTATTTAAAGAACGTGTTCAAAATGTCGTCCCCCACTTTCCACACAAGTTTCATTACGACGAACCCAGTTTCTTCTTACTCTAGGTCCTCGAAGCTGTCCAGTTATTATTTCAGCCGCATTAACATTTTTTTCGCGAAGTTGTGCGTCAGTTGTTATTGGTCCAGCCCGATGAACCATCCCTTTAAGTTCTCCGCAATACCAGAAGTCCATCGGGTTGAGGTCAGGATATCTTGCTGGCCATTTTCGAGGAACAGCATTTTGACCGATCCAGCGATTTGGATAATGTTCATTCAAGTACTGAATACGTCATGAAGAAACCACAAATTCTGTCTCCGTTGTAATGGCATGTTGTCTAAGGTCTCTTCCAAAAGTTCTGATAGGTTATTGGCTAAAAAGCTAAGGTATCCTTCCCCTGACAACTTTGGAGGTAACTCGAAAGGGCCAATTACCTGATGGTCAAGAATACCCGTTCAAATATTTATTTTAAAACGTTGTTGGAAATGACCTTCACGAATGTTCTGAGGATTTTCTTGGGCCGACGTGTGAGTATTATGGGAATTTAATATCCCGTCTCGCGTAAAAGTACATCCGTCCGTCGGGAGAATGTTTTTAAGAAAATCCGGATTTTCAATGTTTTTGTGCAAAAACCACTGACAGAATGTTCCTCTGCGAGAATAGTCTTCTGGTAACAAGGCCTGCACTCGTTGTACATGGTAGGGATAAAGCAAATTTTCCCGTAGGATTCTATGGACTATGGTATGCGATAGTCCTACGCGGCGGCCTAATTCCACAGTGCTGATATCTGCATTGATTTCCACGATATTTAAAATTTGTTCCTCCTGTTATACAGTAACCTGTCTTTCACGAGTGTGAATCTTAGTGGTCTGAACACTTCCTGTATCTCGAAGTCGTTGGTACACTTGCACAAATGTCCTTCTGTCTGGGTGTACCCATTGGCGAAATCTGTCACGATAAATTTGAACTGCAACTAACAGCATGTCGGCGAACTCTTGATTCGAGAACATTGTAAATAAACACGACGACGTACGCGAACAAAAACAAAACAACACGCCCGATGCTCTGCTCGACAAAACGATAAAGTAATTTATCTATGCAAAACGATAACTAACCACTGTTACCGTTTGCGATCGATTGCCGGTTCGATAAGAGTGATGAAAGACCGACGCGCTGTTATCATGTGTGTTTTAAATATTTAATTTAATGATACTTACTTACTGACTACATATTTTGGCTTAACTTAGAAAAACTTAATGAAATTTATTTGTTAATTACCTACCCAATTTAACAACGCTTTAGATTAGATTATAAAAATTAGTAACATTGTGCTGGTTGTGGTCGATATAAAGCACTTAAAGTTGTAAACTATAAAGCCATTTAGACAAAAATCTATTGACTTTTGGACCATGGGTCATATAAACTTTTTGACTTGTTTTGACCCCCCCTATTAGGGGAGACCGGGGATGCTTGTTACAGGGGTTGATTGTTACAGTGCGTTTTACTACAACCGTATAGATGGCAGCAGCTTCGCAACGACATTTTCAGGAAGGGCCGCCCGTCTAGTCTGTCGCCTCCTAACATAATTCAGTTCCGCTAGAGTGCGCATGTGGTATGTTGCTTTCGTTGTTTTCGAGGCTCTGGAGAAATTTTTGTTATTGAAAAATATTTGTTTATGGAGTTGCCTGTGGTGGTGAAAACCACTTTATGAGGTGATCAATATATAATATCAGGTTAGTACTTTTATAATGTATTGTTTTTATTCGGCTAATTATAATGTTCATAAAAATATTTGAGAAAAAAACAAAAAATGGCGGATGGGGTTGGTTGTGACACCTTCAACAGGGCAGGTTGTTACTGTCACAACCTACCCCATGAAAAATTCTATTGGTGCGTTTAACTTAAAAAAATTGTTTTAGACAGATATTCGCAAAACCGGAAGGGGAAAAACACCTGTAGATGTTTTTGAACGAGATGCTAATGAGGTTATTGTAAACAAGAAGTCCCTACGAACAGTAGCTGCTGATTTTGAGATAAATCATATGACTTTACAGTGATTTTGTAAAAACAGATGAAGGTAACTTTTTATTTTACGCATTCTTTACGATTTGGTCTATTTGCTTTGTTCTTGCTGTGTTTGTGTGTGTGTGTGTGTGTATAAAATTATTTTTTGTAAGCTCCCGTTTTTTATACATTTATAAAACTCAATTTTGACTTTCTTTGGCTTTTTAAACATTTATTTGTGACTTCTATGTGTCAGCATTGAAGTGTCAAATTAATATTTTTATTTTTTTTTTAATTTTTAGGATTAGAAGGACCTATCCATGTTGGATATAGACGAAATCGTCAGATGAGATGGAAGCTGACTTGGAAGAATATTTGTTGGATACACGAAAGAGGTTTGAACCACAAGACATGACGGCTGCTGTACTTAAAAACTGTGCTTCAGCACTGGCCCTACCATTAAGCTTGATATTCACATCGTCTTTTAGATCTCATACCCTACCCTCATGCTGGCTTAGTGCTTCTGTTACCCCTGTATTCAAAAAGGGCGACAAATCCTCCGCTAAAAATTATCGACCAATAAGTCTCGTTCCTATCGCCGCCAAAATAGCTGAAAGAATCATATTAGATAAGCTCCTGTCATTTGCTTTCGAAAATGACCTTATCCCTAAGAATCAGCATGGATTTCTTCCTGGTCGATCAATAATGACCAACCTTCTCCACTCTCTCAACGATTGGACTCAGTATCTGGACACAAAGACTCCTGTTGATATAATCTACTTAGATTTTTTTAGGGCTTTCGAACGCGTACCACATAGAAGGCTTCTGTTTAAGTTGGAATGTATGGGAATAAGAGGCGAGTTGTTACTGTGGATCAAGGCTCTTCTCACCGGGAGGACTTTCTCTGTGCGCGTCAGTGATAGCCAGTCTCACCTTCATCATGTAGCAAGTGGAGTTCCTCAAGGCTCTGTCTTGGGGCCAGTGCTGTTCCTTCTGTATACAAGTGACCTGCCCGCATTGATTTCCTCCACATGTTCAGCTTATGCCGACGACACCAAGATTTACAATACTGTCGTAAAATCTGCTATTCTTCAACGAGATCTTGATATTGTTTGTCAATGGTCAGTCAGTTGGCTTTTACCCTTAAATCTAACAAAGTGTTGTGTTCTTCACCTCGGGAAGACAAATCCGCGATTTACATACAAGATCTCTGACCACAACATCGAAGCAGTTTCCAGCCACACTGATCTGGGCGTTGTAGTCAACGATCGTCTTTCCTGGTCAGAGCATATTCACCACGTTACATCAAAAGCCAAGAAACTTCTATACATGGTGGAGAGGTCTTTCAAAGGATCCGATGTCAACACTTGCGCCTACATTTACAAGGCATTCGTGAGGCCAATTCTAGAATTCGCTGGCCCGGTATGGGACACTATGCTTCTGCGCGATAGAAATCTCGTCGAATCAGTACAGCGTCAGGCTACTCGTATCCCTTTTGGAGCACGAAGACCAAGCTATGAAGATCGCCTTGAATTATTCAACCTGACCTCATTCTCTGAGCGAAGACTTCGTGGCGATCTTATAGTTACGTTCAGGAGACTTCATGGTTTGATGGGCACCAACCTCATGCATCTATACCGTCTGTCGCGCAGCAATCTACGCGGACACAGCTTCAAACTGCATAAGGAGCCATTTAAAATAACAGTCCGACAGTGGTTTCCTCCCAACCGCATATTCAACACCTGGAATAGTTTACCTGAAAGTATGGTTGGTGCTACTTCAGTTAATAGCTTCAAAGTGCAGTATGATAGCTGGAGGAGTGTACAAACTTTATAGCTATGAACTGTCTTTTTTTATTTTTTTCTATTTGATGTATTTGTGTTACGTGTCCGTACACTATATTTACTGCATGAGCTTATAGTACTGTGTACTCTGCTCATCTCAATTATCATAATAATAATAATAATAATAATCTATAATGTCGATGAAATGGGTATAACAACTGTGCAGAAGCCAGATAGAGTCGTTGCTAGAAGGGGAGCTAAGCAGGTTGGGTTTGTAACATCTGCCGAAAGAGGAACACTAGTAACATTTTGTTTTGCTATCAGTGCTAGCGGCAATTCAATCGATCCGATGTTCCTGTTTCCGAGAAAAAACTACAGAGATCATTTTGTGAACAATGGCCCTCCTGGCAGTATTGGAGCCGCCAATCTATCGGGGTGGATGACAGAAAACGAATTTTGTATTTTTCTGGAGCATTTTGCAAAACATTGTAGGTCATCTAAAGAAAAACCGGTTTTACTGTTACTCGATAACCATGCGTCACATCTTTCAGTAAAAGGCATTAACTACTGCAAAGAAAATGGCATTGTTATGATCTCCATGCCCCCGCATTGTTCACACAAACTACAACCATTAGATCGATCTGTCTATGGGCCTCTTAAGAGATATATCAATACCAGTTGCGATTCCTGGATGCGCAATAACCCTGGCAAAACAATGACAATTTATGACGGACCTAAAATTGTTAAAGATGATTTGCCTTTGGCTGCTACCCCGAAGAATATCCAGGCTGGATTTCAAATAAGTGTTGAGTTTTCCCCGTTAACAGAAACATTTTCACAGAGGATGAGTTTCTTCCTGCAACTGTTACAGATCGTCCCAATCCAAATATTAAAAAATAAGTTCCAAACCAAGCCGAAACCCAGCAAGAAGCTCAGTTAACTGAACAAGAAAAAGCTCAATTAACTGAACGGGAAGAATCTCAAATAACCCCTCCAAATTCGCCGGTTGTGGTAAATTTACCTTCAGTTTTACGAGAGGTTAATAAAGAAAGAGATGATTTACAAGTCGAGGATTTCCCTGGACCCTCTGGAATAAAATCGTACTTATCTCCACAGGATTTGTGCCCAACGTCCAAGGCAGAACCACGAAAAACAAACAGAAAAGGACGAAAACCGGGACGCGCTGCCATTTGGACTGATACACCCAATAAAGAGGAAATTGAAAACGCATACAAAGAAAGACAAATGAAACAAACTAAGAAAAAGGCAAAGCAATCAGGCACAAAAAGAAACATTTGTAAAAGTAAATCCAAACATATTCCATCAAGCAGCTCTGAGGATGAAGAAGTTTTTTGTCTTATTTGCAGTGAGCCATTTTCAAATTCTCGTCCAAAAGAAAAATGGGTGCAATGTACGTCGTGCTCAAACTGGGCCCATCTGGAATGTACAGATAAAAATCCATTTTTTATTTGCTTAAACTGTAGTTCTGATGATGATATTGTCACAACCAACCCCAGCATTGTAACAACCAACCCCGAAGCGGGGTAAGTTGTGACATTCAGCTTTTCTTGTTTATATTAATAATAACTTTATTTTTATTAGCTTTTAAGATTTAATTTTTATGTTTTTTATGCACAAAAGGTTAAGTAATAAATATACGGTAAAATGAAATTTGTGGTATTAATAGGAAAAATTTTAAAAATATATTTATAAAAATCGTAACAACCAACCCCGGTCTCCCCTACTCATTTCAATAATGACTACCATAACGTTTACACCCTGTATACCTATGCGAAGTTATCTTCCACGGATGTCTGGCGTTAAACGTGACGGCAGTTTGCCGAACACATTGATTACGGGCATGATAAATTGGAATCATTTCCACTCTTTCGGCTAGTGTGTAAGCCGTTTTGGAAGTAAAATCTGAATCAATAAATTAACTTTCACTATCCCAAGATTGTCACAAAGGTAACTGACAGCAAATCAAATTCTTCATTTCCCTTACCAATAAATAACTAAACAGGTATAACAATAAATACAGTTCGCCCAGGATATCGGTGTTGGTTAAAAAATGCGGAAAAAATTCGGGTTATTCGGTTGATGCCACGTCTAATCTTCCGAATTGCTGTTTATGTTGGTAGTTCACGTTTTAAATTATAAACGAGAGTAGATTTGGCAAACCCTTACGAGCAACATTTTAAACACTTATTGATATAAAATGTGATTTTCTATTTGAACAAATTAAGATAAATAAAGGTTTTTCTAATTTTCTCGAAAACGAACCGACTGATTTTGAAAAACATACAGAATAAAGAGCAATGGGCCTAGTAGGCTACCTTGCGGTACACCATGATCAACACAAACATTACTTGATATTTTACTTTGAATTTTCACCGCTCAGAAAAATAATCACAGGCGAACTCTAGAAAAGTGCAGACGAAGATTTCTACCTCGGCCAATGTATAAGAAACGCAGAGGCAGGTAGTAGCGACACGTAAGGGCTAAGGGCGCTCATCTGCATATCCCAATAAAGCAATGCAAGGGCGCGTTTCCCACGTCCGCACAACGTGACCCTTTGAAGCGGAAGACCGCCGCAGGAAAGGGTCAGAAAAAATAAAAATGACCAGTCTTTTCAATGCCAAATAAAAACCAAAACGAGTTTGACCAGTTCGCAGTGACCGGTATTCCACGACCCTAGTTGAAATGTATGTCCCTCCCTTGCCCTTCCTTAGTAAAAAAGGTAAAAGTGACCCTTTCTTAGGATATTTTCATACGGGTTGGACATCTGTTGTATAACCCGCTAGGCAGTAATAGTGAAATAGTAGTAGCGAGTGGACTGGTGTTGATTTTGTTGACATAGTCACAAAGATGTAACAGAGTGGCGGAAGAGTAGTGGAAATGAGATACTTTTGTGAGATTCTGTCAACGTGAGAAATGTGTTTCAATAGAAATGGACGCTCTTCTGGATTTGAGGCTACTGGAGATAGACAAAGCATAGAGAATGGTAATTAGATAAACATTTTACCAGGATATCACTAGGAGTATTTCAACCCGAGCTGGAAAAAGTAATACAGCTCTTTAGATGTATTTTTTTAAGAATAAGGTGCATTAGTTGACTATTTTTGATTCCTACGCCATAGCTAAATTGCGGTTCGTCGCTTTAGTCCCGAAATAAATTATGTCAAAAAGTACAATTTGACAGTAGGTGGTTTTTTATATTATTAAAAAGGGACAAAATAATTCAATCAAAATTACATCTTTCATCGAGGAAAAATTGTTGACGTGAATCCTTACTGTTTTCTTAAGTTCAAAATGTGCAAAACAATTAGTATGCTCATGTTCGTGTCTTATGCTCCCGGTATTGTGACGAAAACTTACGTCAGATCAACCATTACAGAAGAATCGTTGCAAAGTTATAACGCAGCGCGGGCTTACGTCACTCAGTCAGTATTACTCGTACTTAGTGTTGGGCGTTTAATCGTATACATTGATTGTCCATGTTTCCATGTAGACATTGCGTATACGATGTATACAATCGTGAAGACAATGTATATGTCGTAGCCTGATTATAAAACCTGTCGTTTTATAAAATGCCTAGTCGTTTCATAAACGGCGGCCAGATTGTCAAATTTTCATTCAACGATGCATTATTTTGCTATCTGGCTAGCCATTTTATAAAACGACTAGAAGTTTCATAAAACGACCGTGACTACTTTGCCAGAATGTCAAACGGGAATGTTTGCAACGTTTAACATTCTTGCGGGTGAAGTACTTTAGTGGGTAGCTATAAGACAGTTAAAGAAATTTATTATTTATTAACAAAAAATTTTAAAAATACCAAACTAAACAAACATCTAGCATTCTTACATATGTAAATTTACTTAAATAAAAAAAAACAAAACAAGTTTTATAAACAAAATGTTCATATATTGGAACATGGACCACTGAAATGGCACCTGCTTGTACATTTTCCGCGAGCCTTAAAACAAAGGCATCTCTTAGTGCAGCATTGCAGTTTACTAGGTTTGCACTGACATTTCTTAAATCCTTGTCCTCCAAATTTCGAAACCTTAGAAAGTGCTTCCCTTAAAGAGATATTAACATTACCATCGATTAAGGCGACCATGCTCTGTACCTATCTGGTATACCCCATTTTGTATATCTAGAATGATTACTAGTACCAAGCACTTTACAAAAATTTCAATTGCTGTTCGAGGAATCGCGAACTTTGGTCTTAAAGCAGATTTCATTTTGTCTCTACCCCCATGACCAGTAGATATATGACATCCATAAGTTTTTCATAAAATTCTTCATATGGTTCTACAAATGTTATGGGATCATTGTCAGTCAACCTTTTTTTAATAACTTTCTTTAGTCCACCTATTTCAATTATATTGTATTGTTTTCCAAAATAATATTGTTCATTGGTTCTCCTCCGAGACTTTTGGGCGGCCAATCTTCCTTGAAATAATATTTCTAGTACCTCCTTATGTCTCTCGGACGTCTATAGTTTCTTCTGAGCATCCTTTTTATCTGAAAATATAAGGAACAACCACTAATTAATAAAAAGAAAAACCATTTAAATACCCCTCTCCCCTCAAAAAGGAGTAAGTGTTTAAATGTCAAAAAATCCCAAGTCGGTTGTCTGTAAAGTCCGTTTACGGACGATAATTTTACGTGATAACGTCATAAGAAAACATTGATGAAATTTTTTTTCTGAAAATTTGACATTTTTTGAAAATTTGATATTTTTTGAAAATTTGATATTTTTTGAAAATTCGACATTTTTTGAAAAATTTGACGTTTTTAAAAATTCTACTTATTTTAAAATTTGTTTTTTTTTAAATTCAACTTCTTCGAAAATTTCATTTTTTCTGAAATGAAAATTATACCAGTTTTTAAATGACCGACTCTAGCAAACTTAACACTACCGCGTTTCAGGCGGAACGTTTCCGAGAATGAACGTAACGCCCCGTAACACTTTTTCGTGAATGCAGCTGGGGTTTATCCATTTATAAGACGTTATCACGTCAAAAATATCGCAAAAGGTGTCCTCATCTGCTTCCATTGTTACATCAAGTTTTATTGGCCTCTTTTATGTAGTGAAAAATAAATGTTTTCCAAATATTATCAATATTACATAAAAAAAGTTGAATTAGTAGATAAACTTCAAAACCAAATTACTTTGAACCTGGGGCCCTTTATTTGAGATTCGCCTTTTTTTCATGGTATGCCGGCAAATATGGCAACGTCGCAATCTAAGGTTATTTTCTGAAATTTGACGTTACATTGACATTCCTTTCGTTTCTAAACAAATACTGATGAAAAATGTTTGTATTTTATATTTTGAATGTTATATTCGTGATTGCATGCATATTAGTACATTTATGGTAAGGAAAATTGATCCAAAACTTGTGGCAAAAGTAGAAACATAAGGGAACAAACATTCACCCGTGAATCTCAGATAAAGGGCCCCTGGATAAAAAACGGCGAATATACGTCTAAAAAACTATCCATCCGTGCAGCAAAATATTCCTACACCGTCGTCCGTGCAGCAGACACTGCCTAAATAAATACACAACCACTTAGGCATAGGTAATCCAGTCCAGTTAGTGGTCAAAAAGTATTTTTCTGGGGGACTTAACGTTTGTTATGTGACCTTTCAAAGTAAGTAAGGTAAATAATAACAATAATTATTAAAGTATTTTGGAATTAATTCAATGCGATACTAAATAATAAATAACAATAACATTAATTACAACAATGTCCGGTAGTGACAACTCTGAATTTAAAATTCTTGATAAAATATTCTGACCCTGTTTTGGATTGCCTACGTCTTTAAACTTTCATTACTTACCTTTATAAAACTCTTCTAACTGGGAATAAAAGTAGTTTTCATCTACTCCCGCCGCTGCTATTTTAACGGGGTCCATATTTTTGACCATTCAAACCTTAACAAACCAAGCAAAACTGAAATTATGTCATAAAAATATGCGAATCAGCAGACAGTGCAGACACTAAACACCTTTGTACGCGCCAGAATAATAAATGAGTCAAATTTTTGAATCTGGCTAATGCTGGCCGCCGTTCTTTAAAAGACTAAAATGCATCACCCGCTACAATGTCAAACGATGAATATCTGGCCAAGTAGTCAGCGTCGTTTTAAAAACGCCCAGTCGTTTTATAAAATGGCTAGCCAGATAGCAAAATAATGAATCGATAATTAATATTTGACAATCTGGCCGTCGTTTATGAAACGACTAGACGTTTTATAAAACGACAGGTTTTATATTCTGGCTACGACATATATACTACCAACAAGTGAGGTTACGTTTATCTAGAAACGTCAAAATATCACTAAGCCGGCAATTATCAAAAAGATACGATTGGGCACGCTAAAAATAAGGAAATTCATTAACTGTGGTTCATTTTGTTTCAAAGCTGGAAGAATTATTGCCGTTCATTGCTGGATCTGTAAAAAACCTGTCTAATTTAGATACATGTCGCTTAAAATCGCACAGATATCTTAACTTTTTTGTATCGTAATATGCCGGTATCGACGCGATATTCTGTCTATTTCTACTTAATCTAATAAGAAATTAAATCAGAAAGTATAATAGTAAGAAGTAATAAGAAAGTATCTATCACTATAGCAATAATGATCTACCAGTCTTAATATTGACTTTACGGTGCTGACAACGCGTTGAACGAAATCAGTCAAATGGGTGGATTTTATTTCCAGAATGTATAGCTTTATTTTGGAAATGATCCTACTTAACTTAAAACTATAAGTTTGTATATATATGCAATAGATATCTGTATTTAAATATTTTCCAGTTATTAATAAACCACTTCTACAAGCGTTGTATGTGTGCAAGTGACCTAACTGAACTTTATTTGCCATTATATATATTGTTCACAATATAGACAATGAATATAAGGACGTATAGGCGTATAAAATGGTGCATTTTACATGATTATACAATACGCCCATCATGGCTTCTCCATGATAAGTTATTCGCCTAATCGTCACTAACTCTGGTTCTTGTTCGCTTTAAAGGCACGGATGGACAAAATTGGGTTAACTTTTGAATGAAGGATACGAGCAGTACATTTTTTGTGATAGCATAACGAAATTCCCTCCAACTGACAAATTTCAATTTCTTCTAATCTTTCCAGCCTACCAAGAAAGATTTTCTCTACTTATTCAGCTTTTCCAAGAGACTTTCCGGGAATACTTCGCAGTTTTCTTTTTGTTCGTCAGAGCTTTGCAGGGAAATTAAAGCCTCCTGCCAATTTTCCCTGGTTGTTTTCTCTTTCCAACGAACGGCCCTTTCGCAAACAGAACCGTTTTCTTGTTTGACTGTCCTTAATTGAAAAGCTGCCTGTATTTGCGTAGAACAAAAACTGTGTTGTTGTACGAAATACCTTGACTGCTGGTCAAATAGGATATGTACTATAATTTTATTCGCCGCGCCTACTTGTGTGGAGGTATTGTAATTGCGAACATATTCGAGAATGAGATATTTCTTGAATGTTACAGGACATGTATATATATACAAATGTATTATTTTATTCTCCGCTACATTCTATATGCAACAATTATAATTCCATAGCAGACAGTTCTGACATTAATTTTGATTGTATCAGTAAGATCGTGTCGAATTTCAGGTACTATTATAATAGCTAGCTCTATTTCTTTAAATTAGTTTTAGGTATACATTACATGTATGAATTATAAGTAAAGTTACCATGATATTGTCCTTTAATTGGAATAGTTCTGTTGGGCAATAATGTATAAATAAATAAATAAATAAATAAATAAATATCCAGAAACACGATGTCAGTCATATCCGTCTGTCTGTTGGTTTGTATGTCTGACTGTCCGTTACTCCTATAACCGCCTATATCATGAGAAGTACAGCTCACATTTAGATGAAATTCTTACACAATACTGCTATTATGCCAAACGAACCCTTTGTAGTTTTTCGAAATAAAAATGCTCAAGCCCTTGACATTGCAGATTATCCTCATCATTTCTGGAAAAATTTTTAGTAGTAAAAAATTTGGGGGTGGGTACTGTAGGAGATGGGGAAGATATATCTCAATTTTTTGATGTTAGTAAATTTATACGCTCCCAACCTTGATTATATGGGTCTATTAGATACATTTCGCGCATCGCAAATTTTCCCGCACTTAAAATATTCTCAGCAGACGGATCGCGAACTTAACGGCTGCGTCTGCTTCTGCTCCCGGTGGCGTGCCGGTTCTAGTAAATGTTGTGGTATTACTGTCCCACCATACCATACTATTTCCTATGCTGTAACCGCGATTTCACGTTTAACCGACTTAGGTATTGGTTATAGGCGACGTTTCCAGATACGCTACCGGTAGGGCAGATAAAATATCTATGGACTAACTTTATGGACCTGTCTGACTTATTTCTTTGTCAGAAGGTCTAATTTGTGCTGAAGATAATCCTTTATGAACCGATAACCAATTTATTAATAAAAAACTTTAATTTTGTCGACAACTCAATCTGAAATTCATGGATTTCCGATATATAAAATTAGCAACATTTAATTTAGGCATTGTAAACAATATAAATCTGCCAGTACAGTATAAACACGAGTACGGACATGTAACATGAAAGATGGTTACGTTGATAAAGTGTTATAACAATTAATTATATTTTTAGCGCGATAAACACAACGGCTAAAACAAATACAGCAGAATTTCCATTATTGGATCTGAATGAAATATGGCTTATAAGCGTCAATTTATTGAGTTAAATTTCATAATTATAATATTGATTTCAATAATAAAACAGAATTTGTAATGTGCTGAGGGATTTGCCGAATAATGCACTTGCAATGTTTTGTGTTGTTGGTATAGGTACGAATGTCCATTCGAGCGATATGTAATACTATTATGTAAGGTAAATGTGAATGGAAAAGTGCGACAATTGTGGTTCGTTTGGGGTTGATTTGACTCGATTTATTGGGATTGGTGTCACAACCGGTACAAGGCTGCACAGGATGTCCTCAAAGTGGGGACTTTCCTTTACACGGCGTACCGATCTTGGAATAATAACCATCTTTTTTCTAGTAAGATATACATTAAAGCATTAAGATTACCGAGATGTTAGGCTGCGCAAAATCAATGAAACCCAAACAAAACCTAATCCGGCACTGCGCGTTAATTAGATTCAATTTAAAAAAACCTTTACACATAATATTTTAATTTACGGTGGCTTCGAAACGCTACCGCGGCTTCGAGAGTGCATGTAGATCGTTTTTAAAAATGCTTCGTGATTTTTTGTTTGGGGCTGAATGAAATGTTTAGTGTATATATATATATATATGACTGAGATGCTAATAGTTGATGTACTACGTGTGCGAATTTAGCACCTGCTGAATTCATTGATGAAAGGCAGTCCATTCTAAAAGCCTACACCGATGCAAGAATATACTTCTATCTGTTAATCTAAACTTTAAACAATGCTTTCAAGTAATAGACCTGTACTTGATTTCTGTTCGATGAACATTAATTTATTTTTTCTTACTTTTCGCTGTTGTTTGACCGCACATAGCTTTATTATTACTAACGCAGTTGTTTCTGTATAGGTGCTTAAAATTACTAGTCCTTAGTCCAGTGTATCACGAAACGTCCATTCTGCGTTAAAGGAGTTAAAACACAACAGGTTATGCTAGAGGATTTAAAAATCCTTTGGACATAATATTCATTGAGTTCAATATACAGGGTGTTTCAGAACTAAAGGATCAAACTTCTAGGGGTTATTCAGTCTAACAGTAGAGAAAATTTGAGTATAGCGACCCATATCCGAAAAAGTGTCACTACGGCACTACGGCCCTAAGACGCGTTAAAATTTAGAAAGACGATGAATTGTCTAAATAGGACTTTTGTGAATGATATCATCACGTCAGTTGTTCTGATCGAAAATTATTTTGTTTATATAGGTAGGTAGGTCTCTTTTGTGATTTTGTGAAATAAGGTAATCGCAGAAATTTTGAATCTGTTTCTCACATTGATCCAGTCAAATTTTTTTCCGAAATATGATCATATTTTTTTGTACCACGTATAAACACAACAGTTTTGAACAATTTGAATTTTTCTGCGACTTTCTATATCCAAACTGCTATGGTATAAAGGGTGATTCACAAGTCTTGACCAAGAATGAAGCACCATACTCAGGACTCTATTTTAAGGGGGGTTTTCTATGTAACATTTTCCCTCGAGGTTTCATTAAAAAGAAGTTTAAAAATAAAAAATAACTTTTTTTATATCTTCAAAAACGTCAACTGGAATGAACTAAAATTCGGTAAGTGGATTTATCTAAGTACTATCTAGATTCAATAGTCTTTTCTTAAATTTAACGTGCACCAGTGGCGGATATACAGGGGATTAGTTTCATTATTTTGCCAAACAAAAATAGTACGCCACTGTTTTTATTCAAAATTTGCTACAAATAGTTACTCTTGTGTTTTTTTCCTAGAGTGCATTGTTTTCGTAAAAATAGAAATAAAACAAATTAAATCAGTCATGAAGAGACAAGATACAATTAGTTTCAAAATAAGATAGGAGACCTTGGTACCAACTTGCCGTTTCTTGGCAGATAGTTTGCCAAAGTTATATGTTATACGGTTGTTATCGTTACTGCTACCATTTTTTGTGTAAAATGCGGTCCTGTGGACGATGTTCCAATTTGGTCACCACTTGTGAATCACCCTGTATAGGTAAAAGTCACGAGAAGTGTGACAGTACAAGACTGTTTTCGGAAACGCATTTTTGAATAAAGTATTAATTATTCTAATCGTTTAAATGGAACGTTGTCAATTGTGATGCTAAAACTATTTTTGATTGTCTCTCGAACTTAATTGGGGCTAAACAAAAGAAGAGTGGACGTTTTCGGACTTAATAATTAAGAATGTTGTTTTGATATACATCAAAGTTTATACAAGTCATAGTCAATTGTTTACTTTG